AAGTGGGAGTCGTGGGATGTTCGAGTACGGCAACAGTGGATTTAAGGGGCTAGGAATTCTCCCTACCTGGCGTGAGATTTACTTTGTCGACAATGGGAAGATCCGTCTGGTGACGGCAAACAAGCAACTCAAGAATCGATCATTATGGCATACTTTAGGACTAGCAAATTTCTTTTGAGCGTCAGTGAAGTTTGAATTAGATGTGGTTTCCCCTTACTGTTATTATTATTGTTATTATTACTACTATTATTATTTCTTCTTGCTGCCATTCTGCCTTTTGTCAAAACACATTATTGTTCTGGGCCGTATAGGAGTTAGTGGGTCATTTTAGTCTATCTTCCATGTCTTTGATGTTTTTTTCTTCCTCTTTTGTTGTTGTTGCCTCTGATGATGCTAACTTATTACGTCTTCTCTGTACATAACGGAGCAGTGGACATATCCTCTCCTTTTGTTGTTTTTTTCCTTTTTTTTGTTTAACGTTTTACACAGTGACAGGTTTTTTTTTTACCCCCTCCCTGATATATGTGAATTTTTGGTACATTCCGAATTGGGGCAAATACTTGATGAAGCGTAAAAGGGCCGATGGAAACCGGAAGACCATTGCAGCTCTTCGTGCAGGTGTTACTGCATTGAGTGTATCCAGTGCTGCGGCAGCGAAGGAGCTTACTTGTCGGGATGCGCATGTCAGTGCCATCTTGGACTTCCTAAATGACAATGTTCATCCTGTGATGCAGATTTTTGGCATGCCTGGGACAGGGAAAACTGCTTCTGTAAATCATGCGCTTGCCCTTCTTGCGCAATCCTGCTCCTCTGAAAAGAAACCGACTGCAGTATTTCTTAACGGTTATGTGATTCAGAAAAACACCGATATATACTGGACATTGAATTGTCATCTAAGCAAGGCTCGTCTTGGACACACAGAGAACTGTTCACCTGAGCAATGTGCTGCATTGATAGAAAAGCGTTTTAGACAAGGTTGGGGTGACGTCTCAACGCCTTTGTGCGTTATTGTTATTGATGAGGTGGATAAGGTTTTAAAGCGACATCACAAGGCCTTTTTCAGAATTGTAGACTGGTTGAGTTTCCCTTATGCGTCTTGTAAACTTATTACAATTTCTAACAGTATGGAATTAGCAGCAGATGCCAAAACAAGAAGTCGGCTGGATATCACTAGAAGATTGGTTTTTGAACCTTATAGCTTCCCCGAACTAAAGGAAATTCTTTTACGAAGAGTTGGTAAGATTAAGCCAACGCTCTTCGCCGAGAAAGCCATCAACTATTTGTGTAACCAGACAGCCTCCCATTATGGAGATGTGAGACGTCTTCTACAATCTGCGTCGTCCGCCGTTTGCAGCTTAATGATGAAATTGGAAGAGGGTTATAGTGTCCCAGATACGCAAGATGGTCTGTTGTCTGTTAAAGATGTTCATGCTGTTGTTCGACAAATATTTCATGACCGTTTTGTGGAATTTATTCAAACCATTAGGTTACCAATTCTCTTTATTAGTGTGGCTGTTATAGCTCACGAGACGACGAAAGTGTTTCGAGCAAACCCAAGTGATACTCGTTTGTCTTTGGACAATTTGTTTTTAGCAACCAAAAGGGCTCAACAAACCTGTACCGCTTCACTTGGTGAACCTCACTCTATGGATTTAACCTATGGAGCTTATCTGGACATTGTCGAAATGCTGCGTGAAGTTGCTTTGATTGATGTGTCGTTAGGGGAAGAACGTATCCCTGTGAAGACGGCGCAGCATCTTCTTGAGGCCACCGAAACTGCATATGTTTCTATGCTGCAGCCCTTTCCTACAGTAGTGGATGCGTGTAAATTACATGACGTCTTTGGTGAAGGGATAATGCCACTGTTCAAGACTTAATATGCATTTATACATTGTTATGCAGGTCAAAGGGACGCTGAGTTGTGGAGATGTGAGTTTTTATTTTTATTTTTCTTGCTTATTTGGCATTTTTTTTTTTTACTCCCCGTAGGCGTTTGTTTGTTAGTTATTTATTTACTACTTTGCTTCTATGCCTTGTCTTTGCTTTTCCCTCAAAGTCAAGGAATAATAATGGCTTCCCCTCACGGCGGCGCTGGAGGCTCCAATTTTGCAACTGTAGCCAAAATTTTATTTGACTCAGCAAGAAAAGTGGGCGCCGTGGAACCACTAGGCGAGACGAGTAGGCGTTATGCCCAGCAGTTAAAAAAAATTCAGTCCCATAGCCGAAAGAAGGGTGGGTCCTTGGGAAGTGTATCGTATAAGGTCGCGGAATTTTTAGCCACTCAACGAACTCCAAAAACGAATGTTGTCCGGAACCCCAACAGCATTGCAAAGCGAGTTCCTTTAATCGACATTCCAAATATGCCTTCAAAGAAAAAAGATCCCTCTATCGTGGTAAAGTCGCACACCAAGGCGGTGCCCTCCTTGGACTTCGCTATCAAGGAAGGGAGACCTCAGGGTGTGCAACCAGCTAGATCCAAGGAGCCGGTGACGCATGCACAGGCCTCTCACGCTGAATCCTTACTAAGTGCGCGTGCAGTACCCACTTTGGATTTTGTTACGGAGCGGACAAAGACCGAGGTTTCGGAGCCTGAGCCAACTGTCGCGCCAGTGACTGCTAAACTGCCGGAGAAGACGGAGACAAAGCGGGAGCAGGAGGAGGTAAAAGACATAAGCATTAGCATCAACGCACCAAAGGCAACCATTGTCGAGGAAAAGCCTCTGTTTGAAACCATGACTGCGCCAGGTCAGAAACCATCCCTTTTGGCCGAGAATGATGTGTCCACATTGCTTGAAAAGTTGGTGGTTGTACCTGAAAGGGCTGTTAAACTCAAAATAACGGTGCCAATTTCTGCAGCGGATGCAGGTTCAAAGGTTCAGCAGTTTGAACCTGTAAAAAGTGGGACCATTTCGGTGGATGCATGGGAACTGCAACGTGAGCGGGAAATCGAGCAATTGCGGCAGTCTCAGGAGAACGCGGAAAAAGAGCGATTGGCCTTGCAACGGGAAGAGGAGCATAAGACGCTGGGGGATGAATGGGTTAGGCATAGAACGACAGTAGTGGCAGCATCCACAACAGCAAAAGCTGCACTGGGCGACGCTGAGGCAGCGGCGGGTATGATTGAAAAAATGTATTTTTCCAATCAATGGGAGGCATGCTTGAAATCTTTTAGGGAACTGGTCTCTATGCCAAGTGTTTCTAACTCTAGCTCAAAACGGGCCGTCCGCATCATGGAAAGTCGACTCAAGTATGTCCCACTGGATCAGAGGGAGGCCGTGAAATCATCTCTCTTGAAGGAGTTAAAGCAACGAAGGCTGCATGAAGATGTTATCAAGTTTGAGTTACGGCATGGAATTGGCGAGGCATTTCTGCAGCTGTATCATTCTGCTCCACCCAGTGTGAAAGACACCTTAGACATGCCCACAGTGTCCAAGGCCGTTGCAATGCTGGTTGCAGCTGGATCGTGGCAGGAGGCTATTGAGCTCGTCGGCACTTCGCAGAAACGCTTTCTTGATAAGTCCGGTCTTCTTGAGTTAAGGCTTTTGCTTGCGTCTCACGCCTTGGACCAGGAGGCAGCTAAGAGTGTGACGGAATTTGTCTCCAAAACCCTTGCCGCCTCTGAACGATTTGGGAAGGTGCACAAATTACAACTGGCGAAGATGGAGAAGGGAGCTCGCAGAAGACACATGATTTTACAGCTCATTGCCTCCACCGACGTTGATGAGGAGATTTACGCGGAGTTGCTTCGAATCACGCAGCCGGAGCATGTAAAAGATGTGCTGGATGAGATTGGCAAGCGCGGGCTTAACGCGGAAGATCCGGCGATCCTTGCCGTTCTCTGTTGGAAGACGTTTGACCCGGAACACCCGCAGTTGTTGTTCCGGGAAATTGATCGACAGGAGAAGATGACTGGCATTCGCCCAGCTCACCTGTCGGTTGCCGTCGCCATGGCAAGGGCCTCCAAAACGATGGAGACATTACGATGCACCGTCTCCATTGTGAAAAAGGCGCCCATTTTCAAGGCCAGATTTACACTCCGAAAACTTCTGCCTTTGCTGCATGAAAACAACATGCAGAAGGAAATTGTGGAATTGGCCGACTTCTATAAGGACCGCGTGCCCTTGGCGGCGGCGCTTCCGCACGCGGTTGCCTTTCTGAACGAGGCCCTTCAGGCGGAAGGACGACCTCCCCTCTCTGAACAAAGAGTGAGCAGTTTGCAACTACGTGAAAAGACATCAGGGTCAGGCACTGATGCTACAGCAAAACCAGCATCCGCGGCAGCGACAGGCGCAGTAACATCAGGCGTTGAAATCTCCTCTGAGGTTATGCTTCAATGTGCCAAGGACCGAGACTGGGTCAAGGCACTTGCTTTGATCAACTCCATCTCACCAGAATTTGCAAAATCAACTGACGCCGATACGTTAACCCTGCTCCACAACTGTGCCCTTAGCGCTGCGGTGGAGAATGTGGAGGTTGTCCAGTCCATCTACGGTTGCATGCAAAAGAAAGGTGTCACAATCAACACGACCACGAACAATGCGGTGCTGAGTAGTCTGATGAGGTCTGAACGACCACAGGAGGCCATAGAGTTCTACAACCAAACGGATCCATCCTTGCGGGACACCAACACCTACTCCATCATGCTTTCCCTGTATGGGAAAATTGGCATGTGGGAGGAGGCGATGGAGCTCGTTAAAGTTGCGCGGGGAGGGTCCAAAAAGTTGCCGCCTATCCTCTACGTTCTTGGAATTAACGCCGTGCATAGTCACAGTTGGAGCTCGACCTTGGCTCTTTTTCAGGCACTGCGGAAAGAGCATGGAAGCCACGCCATTAAGGATGCGGTCGTCGACAAGGTGGTGCGTTGTCTCGCACAGAACAAGCGTACCGTCGAATTACAGAAATTGGAAGCAGATTTGGCAAAAATGAGTAAAAAGCAATAAACAACGACTTATTGTCTTTTTTTTTTGTCGTTGTGTGTGTGTGTGTGTGGTTGTTTCTTGCACACTGCCTTCACCACAGGCTCACCACAATCCACGAACAACAACAACAACAACAACAACAACAAAAAAACCTCTGGTCATATTGTACTCGCTCCTGTCATCTGAGGCGGGTGGGATGCTGAGCGTTCTGGAGCGACTAGAACCTGTTTGAGGTGGGGAGTAGTTGCCACTGGTGTGTTTATTATTAGTTGCCACTTTTCCCCTCTTTCTTTCTTTCTTTCTTGTTTGTTCCTTTTTTGTTCTTAAGGCGGTAGGATGGACAGTAACTGTGAGGAGGACACTAGTTGCCTGACAAGGGGAAGTGCCCTGGGTAGTTTTTGCGTCTACTCTGCACGGCTTCGATTCAATCCCCTTGACCATGAGTTGGAGCGGCAGACGGTGCGGTTGCTGCGGGAGTTGCTAGCTGGCCCTCTGCACCACGTAGCTGCTTGGGACGCCTTTAGACGAACGCGGCTTCTCAATGTTGTACTGGAGGCGTTGGGGTCGCGGTCGCGACTAAGTTCTCTCGCGTCTGAGGGAAGCAGTCTTGCGGATTATGTGCGCGTGGTGGAGCTTGCCGCAGAGGCCAATCCTCACGCGTGTATGCGGCAGTTGACTCTGGACGGAACTTCTGACGCTGGGCTGTTTGCCATTTTTCCGCTGCTGGTGCGAATTCCTTTGCTCGATGGCGGCTTGACGCGGCATCGCCGTTGCATAAATTCGTACGTGAGAACCATCGTGCTGCTCTTGTCGGACGCAAGAAATTGCGCTCTACTGGCTCGCATTAAGCTATCCCCGATGCAGTTGCTGCTTGATGCGCTTGCCCAAAGCCCATCCAACCGACACGAGGTTGCTCTGCTGGCGCTTCGAGGTATACTTCAGATCCTCTTAGGCACGGCTGAGCTGACCAAACGGTGGGTGGAGGATTTTGCTCTTTATGGCGGACCTGCGATGTGTCTCTCGACGATCACGCGCTGGTGCGGCATGGACGAGGACCCAAACTCCCCCCTCTGTGAACCGAGCACCTTTCTGTTTGATATTCTCTGTCTGCTTATTTCGTTGCCTGATAGTGGCCGGTCGCCCTGCCACTCGCTTTACCTGTATCTCAGATCCTTTCATTGGGAGATGGACGAAGCGGAGCCGGACCCCTCCGTTTATAGATCTACCGTTGGCATGTTTGGACTTCGTGTCATGGTGCGGGCTGCGCTTCTGGCCAAGAGGCACCGGCCCGTGCTCTTTCGCCACCTTGTCTCGCTCCTCATCTGCACAATTCGCCTGGGCAACGCTGACATCGTGGCTGCCGGGCTTGTCAGCGAGGAGCTGGTGGATGTGGTGAGGCAGTACATGCAATGCTTATCCGAGCCTGAGGAGGCGGAGGTGGGAGGCGTGATAGCGACCGTAGTGCGGCTGTGTCTCACGGTATGTGCCTCTCCGGCGGCTTATGCCAAACAAAAAGGTGGAGCTCCACAACTTTGCGCCCTGGTGGTGGAGCTTGCTTCGATTTCCACGACAATAATTTTACGTTGTACGATTCAAACCCTTATCCTATTGGGTGGTCTCGTGAATGAAATCTTCTTCTTCACCCAGCTTGTCGCCGCAAAGCTGTTTGAGGAGCTGAACAAACGAGTTCAGAATACATCTAGCCCGTGTGAAATTCACCTGGTGATAAGGTTGGTAAAGGAGATTTGTACAAGGGTGCCTGCCCTGCAAGGCGCCTTTTTACGAATGGCTGGCACCATCGTTGACTTAATGCGCACTGAGGTACGGAATGGACCGAGGCTTCTTCTGGAGTGTGCGGATCTGTTGTCGTTGGTGATGCTGGAGTCGGAAGAGGGTGCTTTGCAGATTCGAACATTACTGCTACAGCTGCTTGCGCAGACAAATTTTCAGTCCAGTGGATCTATCATAACCAGTTGTTGGGCGTTGCAGACGTGTATCAGGTCAGTGCAGCGAAGTTCAATTGACCGTGTCTACCCTGCGACGGAGGTGAACTGTGTGTTAGTTTGCCTTCATCGCCTTTGTGTGAGTATGGGCGCTAGTTTTTCTTCAGAGTTGATGACGTTTGATTTTTGTGTCTTGTACGATGAAATGATGGCCTATCACCGTCACCGGCGGGATGCGTGCGGAGTAGATCGGTCGCCGCGGCGGTATCTGCTTATGTGCGACTTTCTATTACTTGCGCTGCATCTCCTAAGTCTCCTGCATGTAAATGCCCCAGCAGAGTCAAGACGGGGACTTTCTCGTCAGCTTGGAGCAATTACTGCAGCAGGCCCCTTTCTTCAGTGCCGATTGTACACCTCTATAATTGCTCGGGCCTTTTTGGGCATGTGCTCCCTGAGTTCGCTTGTCCTGTTGGGTGAACTCCAGGCCGCGAAGGAGGCGCCCTCGGATGTCGTGCCGGTGACCCGCCAGAGTTTAACGGCTGGCTGGGTGCTTTATTCTTCATACGGCGACGACTGTTTTGCGTGTGGCCGACAGCGCATTGTGCATCCCGAGTACCTGCAAAGTTTCTTTGCGGTGCTTCAGCGACAGTCGCAGACGGCGGCGCGGGCGTTGCTCGGGGTGTCAGCAACCCAACTTCTTCTTGACGTTTTTTGCAACAGTCTGGAGAACATCTACGCTCTGGTGGAGCGAGGCGTGGCAACACTCCTGTCGGAGGTCTGGGCGGTGGCAGTTGCCGCGGATGAGGGGTACAAGGAAAGCTGTATTCAACACCTTGCCACCGTGACGGCGCAGGTTGGTGTGTGTGGCTTTAGCCATACTGCGATGCTCTTTTTGCTGCAAATGTGTTTGCGCCAACGCACCGCGGATTCCGTGGAGTACGCAAACAAGGCCACCGCAACCGTGTTCACGACGTGGCGGGTCATGCTGCGGCAGTCCATGCCAAGTTCTCAGCCCATGTCTTTTGTAGGAATATCTGTTGGCTTTCCAGCCGTAACAAGGTTCCAGCCGACTGCGGTGCAGCGACTCAAGCGGGGTTTGGGACTCCACGGTGGCATCGACATCCCGATGCCACTGACCGTCCCAAAGCCTGAAGGGTGTATCTCGGCCGTACTTTGGCTCCTCGTGGAGCAAACTGCCTCTCCGCCTGTAGGAACAGCTGAGTTCGTTTTGTTGTCCTTCTTCTTGGATCAAAACAAAATTGCCGTGCTGTTGCTTCTCTCCAAAGGGGGTGAATTGAGCCTAAGATTGTTGCTGCCGGGCTATCGGGAGCAGCGTTCAAGTACTGTGCCTGTCCCCGGCATCGCGGTGCCAAGAGAGAGGTGGTGCATGGTGTCCATGTCCATTGTTGCAGGGCATCGGGCATCCACTGCAATTCGCGCAAAACTACGTCTGGAGGTCCGGATTTCTTTGCATGCTGTGGCTCAATGTGGGGGTTCATCTTCAACGGAGGTTGGGGTCGGGGTTGAGATGTCACTTGGCGTACTGGGTAGGGTGAATCCTTGGCCCTGGGAAGTGAATGCCGTCTCCTTGGCTGCGGCTTACGCACCGCCTGCTGTTTGCCCGCAGCAATTGCTCCTTGGCTCACTAGGCATGTTTGCGGGCCCCCTCTCCAAATTGGAATTGGTATCCCTCTTTGCAATGGGTAGTGACAACCTCTTTTCACTTTCCTTCGTGGACAGGAGCTTTGTCGTTGGCCTGTACCCGACCCTGGCGAACATGGCAGAGCAGGAGGTAGGGATGCTTACGGAGGAAATGGTGCTGCTCGCAGCTATGTGGCGGCAAGGTGGAACACCGACCACGAAGGACCAGCCTCGCATTTCCAGCGCTTCCTTTCCGTTTGCTGGCTACTGCAGCAAGGAACACTTGCCTGTCGTTGTTGGCGTGTTTGGTGGTGAGCTCTGTCTGGCGACGCATATGGAGCGTCGCGGAGCTGCCGCTGACGTCGCTGAATGTCAAGATGCCGATGTAACGCCGTGGAATACGGCGGCTGACCGCCTGACAAGGATTGGCTCCGTGACGCGGGTGCCCCTTAGGCTCTCCACACACGAGGACACGGCCCGCCGCTTCGGAAGCATGTGGGTGGAAGCCAATGGTCCACGGTTTCATTCCGTGACGCCGGTGTATTCCGCGCTGGACGCCGTTGGCGGACTTCCATTTTTTGCCTGGCTGGCCTCGTTGCAGGCGCCACATTCAACGGCGTTTGCAGAGGTCTGGAAGTGCGCATGCGCCGTCGTGCTCCGACACTCTCCGGAAAGTCTCTTGTGTCCAGCACCGTCGCACGGCGGCCGATGTCTTGTTATTTTACTAAGAGCCATGCTGCACGCGCGTATCGCGATATCGGAGACGATTGCGGCTTCATTGTGTGACGCTGTTGGAAATCGGATACTTGTGCGGACCGACCTTTTGTCGCTTATGCTTGACTTCACATTATGGTCTCAAGACGTGGGTGCGTTTCGTGTGGTGCTACGCAAATTGCAACAGTACATGATGGATCCTCAGTATGGCCAGTTTAACAGTCAAATTCTTCAGTACGGCGGCAATTCCGAGCGTGGCGTGGGAGATTGTTACGCCTTGGAGAAGTTTCTCCTGCATCTGCTCATGCATTTTGCGGGGCAAACAAACGGCAGTTGGGATACGTCTATCATCGCGTACGCAATGCCCTTTGTGAGCACGTTGTGTCGGACAGCGTCCCACCTGCGACAAGTTATGCAGGCCGTTATTTGCCTGGTGGTGGCTGAGGAGCCGCCTCCCCGGCTTTCGGTGGAGTGGGCGCTGGGACTGCTGGGTGCCGTCCACAGTGTCATGGAGGTGGGTGAGACTGCGGGTTTGCCGGATGCAGACCTCGCCACTGGCGTCGTGGCTCTCCTGAAGTGCTCGGAGGCGCGGGTGCGGTGCCGTGCCATCCCCCTCTTCTCCTACCTGCTGCTCTCGAGAGCGCAGGTTGCTGCCGCGGTGGATGTGTACTTGGCTCGCCGGGCGTTGTTCCCAAATTCCCCTTGCCTCTCCAAGCAGGAGCTTGACACCATTGCGGCCGTGGTGCGGCGCAGCGCACGACTAGGCGAGGCAGTTCGGGCCCGAGCGCTCATTTTTTTTCTGTTCGCACTTTTTCTGCAAATGCCAGTCGTCTTTCAGGTGGAGGTTATGCAACTCCTGCGTGACGTCATGGAAACGAAAGAGTTGTCCTCACACGACCTTCTCTACGGTGCTGGGACCGGGGAGTATCTGATGGAGCCGCTGCCGAGCCACTTGATCGGCACCTTCCACACCCTGGCAATGGAAGGGTCCACGGTGGCGGGGGACTTCGTTGAGCTCCTCACAGCCACCGCTGTGCAAATGATTAAACACGCATGGGGCGCGGCAGATACTATTTGTGGACAGCTGCTGGGTGACGCACTGTGGGCCATTTTCCAGACCCTTCTACGCGAAGACGACTACGAGCGGGTGTGTGTGACGGACGTGGATGTCAATAGGGCGGGTATGTGGTTGACGCGTTTTAGTGCGCCGTGCTTCCACATGTTCGCCGCCCTCGCGAAAAATGGCTGCCCGGCCTCGTTCCTGAATGATTATTTTTCTTTTCTTCGCATCCAGGTGGCTATTGTGCTGCTCCTGAGCCGGTATGAGAGCGATGGTCAGGGGTGCGGCGCGGCTACCATAGCAGATGCCAAGGAAATAGACCAAACGACACTGGTGCATACCTACTCGCTTCGCCTCGGCAAGACACTTGTGCTGAAGACGCATCAGATTGGATTGCGCCTCACCCTGCTTCTGCTGGAGGCTGCCCAAACGTTGTTCTTTGGGCTACAGGCGGGTGATATGAAGTGGTTGACGCGAAAGCGCGCGGGGAAGATTAGTGAAGAGTTACTGCTCCTACAGTGGAGGGTGATCGCCACTGCGCTATACGACGCTGAGAAAACCGATGATGATGTGGTGAAGGAGCTGCTGCTTTTACACCTTGCCCACAGTGGGCTTGCGGAGTACGATGTCCATCACTTCCCATGGGGAAGGCGTAAGCCACTGGCAGAACCGCCGGATGCGGCCGACTGGAGGCATTTGTGGCTGTCACCCAACACAGTATTAATGGAACTGATAAAAAAGGCGCCTGGAGAGGCTTTGAAGGAGTGCGCGCCCTGGCTCATTGTTTTGCGGGCTGCATTTAGCTTTCTCCATGCCCCGCTGCGGAGTAATTTGGGTCGGTTTTACATGTCGCTCTCGATCTGTCGTCTTATACGCTACAACGCCACTATCTGGTCTCTTGTTAGGCGAGGCGTTTCCCCGTCGTCCACGGCGGAGCTGGAGGCGACCCTAACAACCGAGGAACAGGACTTGCTTGCCGAGGATGCGGCGACGTTGGGGGACTCCCTGTGGGGGATTGAGCTGTCACGTAGCGGGGTGGCTGCCATGGAGAAGTACGTCACGGCCACCCGCTCCACCGCAGTCGTCGCTTTGAAGCACCGCAGCCGACAGCGCAGATTTTTGTTGCCGTCTATGGATTCCCAACAGACGCCGCAGTTCCACGACCAGGCCGCTGCGGAGATGCATCAAGTTCAGGCCTCCATTTGGCAGGAGGCGGAGCTGTACAGGAAGTCTGTGGAGGAGGATGGTAGTGCGATTCTAGCTGCCCATGCCGCCTACCGTTTTTCTCTACTGCCGTGGTGGGGGCATTGTGTCAGCCTCTACTCGCACACCCCGGTACCGCTGAACCGCTGGGAGCTGGATCGCTTTCTGGGCCCTGAGTGGCAGCGCATGCGTCTTCGTCGCTTCATTCACGATGTGCGCATCTCGAGGACGGAGGGCGCAGATCAACTTATTCGCCCTGTCTACCGCGATGGCATGGCTTCCATGGATGATGTCAGGCTCTTGGAATGCTACTCCGCGACTGCCGTTCCACAGCTGCTACCCATGGACGCTCTTGGGCCGGATCCCCTGGCTGTCAAGTGCAAGCTGGTGCTTCCAATGCATCGTGTCCCTATCATGCTCTACGTCGCGTCGAAGCATGTATCGTACGTTGTGGAATGTTTTGAGAGTGATTTAGCGCAGTTGGGAAAAGCGGCCACGAATCCGTCGTTTCCTCCAGATGCGTCTGGTCCATCCACCTTTGTGAGGACGCACGAATTCGCAACGCCACTGCCCGCAAGCTTCAAGTACAGACATGAAGTGCCTTGCTTTCGTCGCGTTGTGAGCGTCGCCTCCATACGTGCTGTATGGCCGCGTCGAAACTTACTGCAGCCCTGCGCGTTGGAGCTGCTTCTCTCCACTGGAGAAACCGTGTTTCTGGCGTTTGACTCGGAGGCGGTGAGAAAGTCCGTGCTTGAGCATATCACCGAATGCGCCCGTCCGCACCTTGACAGGACGCTGACGCTGACGGAAAGCAACCTAAAGCTGTGGCGTAACTGGTGGTGCGAGGGCCGCATCTCCAACTTCCACTACCTGATGTACCTGAACTTTGCGGCGGGTCGCTCCTACGGGGACTTGCGGCAGTACCCCGTGTTTCCCCACGTCGTGGCTGACTTTGTCTCCGACACGCTGGATTTGTCATCGCCCGCCGTCTATCGCCGGCTCGACAAGCCGATGGGGGCGCAGACCGCCGACCGCGAGTTGCGGGCCGTGCAACGGTACCGCGAGATGGCAGCGCTGCCCAAAGGGGAATGCAGTGCGTCAATCGACTTGGTCCCCCACCACCACGGCTCGCACTACTCCCCTGTTGGAGGGGCACTTCACTTTTTGGTTCGTGTGCAACCCTTTTCCGACTATTTCGTGGACATGAACTCCAGCCTGGACGACGCGGGTCGCGTGTTTGACTCCATGGCCGCCGCCTACTTCATCTCCACCGGCAAGGACGTGAAGGAGCTCTTGCCAGAGCTGTACTGTTTGCCGGAGATGTTCGTGAATTCAAACCGAATTCCTTTTGGGGTGAGACAGGACGGAAGAGTCGTGGATGACGTGCAGCTGCCTCCGTGGGCCTCGACCCCGCGGGAGTTGACACAAAAGCTGCGGCAGGCACTCGAAGGCCGCCACACCTCCGAAAACCTGCACTTCTGGATTGACCTCGTGTTTGGCTACAAGCAACGCGGCAAGGAGGCGGTGGCGGCGGTGAATGTGTTTCACCCACTGACCTACGAGGGATCGATTGACCTTTCCACCATTAAGGATCCGGTTCTTTTGTCCAGTCACGAAACCCAAATCGACTGCTACGGCCAAGTGCCTTTGCAGCTGTTTACCCAGCAGCACAAGCCGCGCGGGAAATCAACAGAGCCCCCACTCCTACAAAGCCCTTGCCCGACACTGCGCTACGAGGCCTCCAGCTCGCGGGCCTGCGTTGTGCTTCACCCTGACGGTCTAGTGCCAATATTAAACGCTGCCAAGGTGGAGGGAACCGTCGTTGTGTTTCCCCGCACAAAACCTGTCACCGCAGCCCGAGGCGCAGAAGAGGCGAGCGAATGGAAGCTCCCTCTGACGCAGTCCCGGCCGATAGCGCTACCAAGGCATTGTTTGCCGTTCACGGTGGTGCATGATCAGCTGAAAGATTGTCTCTGTATCCGAGGGAATTGCATTGTGATTTTGGATGGAAAAGATTTGTCGCGCGAAGTGTGTTCGCTGCACGTAGGCAACGGAATGATCACCGCTTACACGGTTGACCCGCCGAATGTTTACGTCGGAATGGCGTCGGGTGCCATCCATGCGCTGGGGATTACCTACGAGGAATGGACCGAAGTAGAACCAACGCTGCAGGAGGAATCGGGGGAACGCCAAGGCACGACGCATGCCTCAGAAAGAGCGCCATACAAGGAGATGAGAACGGTGCGAAATCGAGGGGCCGTTCGACGGCGCGTGTGTGTCTTATATGGGCATACTGCACCCGTGACTGCGCTTTGCGTCTCCGCTGAGTGGGGGATTTTAGTTTCTACGGCGGAGGATCATAGGGCGGCGGTGTGGGACACAACGCGCCTTGTGCTTCTCCGTGCTATTCCCTCTCCGTGTCTGGCGGCAAAGTATCCAGAGTCGCTCTTCCCTGGGAATGCGTGGCAGCAAAGGGCTGGCGCTGACACTCTCTGGCACTATGACCTCATTGCCGTCAATGCAAAGGAAGGGGACATTGTTTTGGCCGGTCGCTCCCCGACGGGTGCGCATGCCGTTAGACTTTATACGCTCAATGGTTCTCTTGCAGCTGCGTATGGCCTCGGCGAAGAACCCGCGACCGCCCTTCTCACCGTTGGTGGGCTCGTCTTCGTCGCACAAGGGACGCTTGTGCGGGTTTTGCGAGAGAGGGACCTGCTGTGGCGGAGTAACCTCAGCCATCCCGGCCTAGAGGACACCATAACCTCCCTGGCGCTTAGCCCTAACGGCACGATTTTGGCCGCGTGCGACCGGAGGTCAACCCTCGTCACGTGGAAAGTAAGCCTCTGAGCCAGTCGTTCCGCAAGGCAGACCTGTTTTTTTTTTATTATTATTTGCTTTCTTGGTACCTTTCTGCCTGCTTCCTTTACGGCTTGACCTCCTTCTCCCTAAGCTATGGTGCAGCTTTCGCTTTCTGTACATCTAAGTGCGTCAATGCGTAATGGGCTCTTTTATTTTTGCTCTGCTTTTATTTTCTTCCAGCTGACCCGTAGATTACGGACGATGGCGTTTCTGCCCCGCTGGGGGAAGCACGTCCCCGTTTTTCTGCAGGAAAGCGCGGCGCAGAGGTCGCCGTCCAGGGTGGCTGCGGCTTCTCGTTCGGCCTCGGCGGGCGCTGCGTGGTTTCTTCTCGCCGCCCAGGCTCTTGTCGCGGTCGTGCTGCTGCGTTGGGCCTCCATGGATCTCGCCGGCGCGATCCCCCTCGTCGTGCTGGCCGTCGCCTTTAACGCTGCGATGGTGTGGAATTGGGTCGCCGATCCCGGCTTCGTCGAGGACTCCGTGGAGCCGAGCACTGAGGAGGAACGCTCCCTTTTGCACTGGTGCCGCAAGTGTCGTCTGTGGCAGCCGTTGCGCGCCAAGCACTGCGAGCGCTGCGAGCGGTGTGTGCGGAAGTACGACCACCACTGTTTCTGGATAGGGGGCTGCGTTGGGGAGGCGAACCACCCACGGTTCTTTCTCCTCCTCACTGTCGCGCTGGCGTACCTGCTGTGTCTGGTGCCCAAGTTTTTAAGATGCTTCGACCTTCGCGGCCCGGCAACCCTGAACGACGCCGTGCTCCGCAACATTGTCCCTTTTGCGCTGCTGGTTGTGGGTGGTTTCATGTTCTGCCTGGTGGCTGTGCTGTGGGCGATGCATGCTGTGTTGCTGGCCAGGAACCAGACAACGTGGGAGTTCGCCAGTCGCTACCGCATCACGTACCTTTGCTCGCGGCGGGGCAACCCCTTTGACCGCGGTTTTTTTTGAATATCTCGTTTCTTTTTCACCGCGGCCCCGTCGATTGGCACCTCGTCATGAAACACGATGGTGCCAGCCCGGTGTAACTGCCGCCACCTCCCCCGTCTCTCCGCCCCCTTTGGCACAAAAGGGATAGCGCCTGGATGCCCGACAACATCCGTGGGCTTGGCATGCGTGCCTGCGCGCGCGCGCGTGTGTGTGTACTGCCCCGACGGACACCCCTCCCTTCTCTACCCCGCCGCGGCACCTTCCCGCCCGTGCTGAAAGCGGCTTTCCGCCTTTCCCTTCCTCCTCCTCCTTCAAAGGCGGCAGCAATTGATTGCGGCATCCTGTTCTTTTTTTTCCCCCCCGCATTACTTTTGAATTTCTATCGTTCCGCTCCAACGCGGCGTAGCCGTTCCTACAAGCACCGCGCTAGCACGCGCAGTGACAACTCCAGCTAGACGAAGCCAGAGGCAAGGGAGGGGCTAAGCAGAGGGACGAAGAGGCAAAGGGAAAGGGAAAAAGGCAACCAGTTGACCCAGTCATGCCGCCCGCGGCGAAGGCGGAGAAGGGCAAGAAGCGGGGGAAGAAGGTCCTTGACCCGATTGCCCTTGAGCGGGCCCGCATTGAGGAAATGGAGCGACTGGGGCGCGAGGAGGCCATGCTGCTCGCCCGTTTGCGGGAGCTAACGGAGGAGGAGGAGGCCATGACGCTGCGGGCCGCCAACGTCGTGGAGGCGCGGTGGATGGTGTTCCTGCGGGAGTGCAAGCAGAAGGAGCTTGTCGCCGAGATTGAGATAGTGCGGCGTGCGTTTGAGTCGGCCATTGACCGAAAGAACGCCGTGATCGAGATGCTCTTCAAAGACCTTGCGGAGGTGGAGGAGCAGCACCGTCTTGTCTTCCAGTCGCACATGACGACGGTGGACGCGCTCACCCAGATGCAGGTGAGGCGCATGGCGGACTTAGAGGCCGAGTTCGACGAAGACCTCCTCGCGGTGAAGACAGACTACGAGAAGGAGATGCTGGAGCTCCGCCGCAAGCACGAGCACGAGGTGGCCGACCTCAAGCTCATCCTCGACAACATGGCCTCCGAGGCAGAGCAGCTGCAAAGGAAGTTGCAGGAGGAAACCTCCGAGGCGCACGACACGGCGCTAGAAAAAATGGAAGAGGAGCGGAAACAAATGCAAAACGAGCTTATAAAAACCAGCGAAGCCATTCGAGCCGAGTTAGATGCCCGTTACAAGGAGTTTATGACGACGGCACAGGTCAACATGAAGGATTACATGGACAAATCAAAGGAGGATGCCGAGACGACGGAACGCATCGCCTCGCAGCTGAAGCGTATTGAAAAACTCCAGGAAAGTGTGACGTCGTGGCGAACGAACCTGGCTCGTAATGCGAGGGAGTGGGAGGAAAAGAACAGCGCCATCCAGCAGGAGCGCGACGCCACCATCCGACACCTCAAGGCTCTTAAGAACAAGATGGAAAGTTGGCGAAACAAGGAAGCTTCCCGACTCGCTGAGTTTATCAAGAATGCAAAGGACTGTGAGGATCAACTTCGTGCCACGGTGACAAAGGCCGAGAAAATTTTGTCTCTTGTAGAGCTGGGCAAACCCCTGGAGACGGAGCGTGAGCAGGTGTTGTCGTTTGAGTCAAACATTGCCACCAGTGAGATTGAGCGGGAGGTTAAGCGATTGATGGCGCACTCAGACTCTGAGGAGGCGCAGGGGGAAGCGGCCCACCCCGATGGGGCGGCGTTCTCAGAGGAGTGGCTGTTGCTGGAGCGATTTTGGACAAAACACAACAAGGTGGTCCTCGACAATGCCGCCCTCTCGCAGGAGAAGTATCACCTAGAGGAGGAAAACAAGAAGCTGCAGGTGCTACTCAAGCAGTACCTTGAAGAAATTAGCGTAAACGATGCCGTGATGCGGGCGCCCAACACCCTTCTGCTCACGAGTAGGGCCCCCAACGTGGTGGAGGCCGTCAAGCAGGGAAGGCAAGGGCGGGGCGCCTACAATACTGTGGTGGAGGGCAATAAGTTTGTTGCTGATGTCACGAAGCAGATGGTCTTACGTTGAGGGAGAAAAGTGCGAGCGGAGTAATGGTTTACCCGCCTTTCGCATGTATAGCTTACCGGGGGCGCTCCCGGTAATTGTTGTTGCACCCCCGAACCAAATGAGAGGGGAAGGGGGCAGTAGATTGATGTTTATAATGCCACTTTGCCATGCACGAAGTTTTTGTTTTTGTTTTCCTTTTTGCTTGTTGTTTTTTTTTTCACCCCACCCTGCTGCCGTCTTGACTTTGGCGGGTTTGGAAGGGTGTGGGGCCATGCATTGAGTGTGAATTCTCCATCCCCTACCTCCCCGCGCTCTTTTATTTGCCCACCGGCGGCTGGAAATGGTAGCGAGCAAGTAATACTTTGATTTGTTTTAACTGGAAAGCGAGCGAGAGAAAGGGAGCGAGGGAGGGGGAAAAAAAAACGAGGGTGGACTCCGCAAAGTCAGAAGAAGGGAAGGAGGGAAACGCAAGAAGAATTCAATGCGACGCTGTGTTCGGGGGCGCGTTTCCTTCTCCCCGCCTGGGAGCTTTCTGGGTCGCTTCTTTGGCGCCACCGTTGACACACCCGAGGCCGCCCGGGACGCAATTGCCGCCTATGAACGACGCCAGCGCGAGGCGGAGCTTGCAGTGGACACCAGGTCTGTTCTGTTTGCATGCGCCGCAAGCGCTGACCACCGGGCTCGTATAGCGGCGGCCGAGGCGTTTGACGTGGCCGCGGCAGCCCTTCCCCGTGCTCCCAATTTTTGCTTCATGAGCCTCTCGCTCGACTACGCGGCGATGATTGACGCCCCCGAAGTGGTGTGGTTCAACCTCTGCAAGGTCAACGACGTCACGACCTCCACTGTGCGGCCACAGCAGCTCCACATGGTGGGAGGGGCCACGCGGCACCAGCGGCCCGGAGGCGGGTACATCCAGGTGCTGCTTGGCTGCATTCCCGACCTTGAAACTGACGTCTTCACATTTGACGCGATCCCCGAGGAGGAGGATCTTCGGGACGCCAGCCGGCCGCCACCGGCTTTGTGTTTTGCCATGCTAGACAACAAACTCACCTTACAGTACGAACGTGTGTTGTCCGAGCGCCTTCAACTGCTTGGGGACCGGCTTGGGGGTTCGCCAATTGTTGGGGGTATTTTCCCACCCTGTCAGAGGGCCAACAGCGACGAGGCAAAGAAGCAAACTGATGAGGGCGACGAAAGGGACGAAAGCGCGCACGCCGGTGATTCTCTGGCGAACGACATGGGGGACTCCATCTTTTTTTGCAACGATCGTGTGTACACAGGGAGTGCCGCATGCATGCTCCTTCGCAGTGCGATGGTGAGGGGGCACCAGGTGGACGTTGTCCCCTCCATCGGCATGGAACGGGTGAAGGTCACGTCGGTTAGTTTTTCAGAGGGTGTCTTTACCATTACGACGCTAAACGAAAAACGGGCGACAGACGTGATCAGAGATGTGTACTGTTCTCGCGAGCTGGAAGGGAAAAACTCGAAGGTGTTTCTTGGCGTTCAGCACAAAGGTGTCTGTCTTCCCCTCTCCTTTGTTGGACACCCGGAGAGCGGGACGCTGCAGCTCTCCGCCCCAAAGGGCGTGGAGCTTCACGCCGGAGACACCATTGAGCTTTTGGTGGATGACGTTGAGCTGGACTCCGAGGCCGCCGCTGCTCTTCTTATCGACCTACAGACAAAATTGTCTGTCACTCACGTCATGAAAGACATCACTGTTGCCAGGGAGGCGCGCAAAAACATTGTGGCATCTTCTCTGGCTGGTTTTCATTTTTCACATGGTGGCATGAACGTTGTGGCGCGTCCCGAGGTCAACGTGACGCTTGGGAATGCATCGACCATGTATGCACCTTCGGTGTTGCAGCGCTGTCTAGGGAAGTGTTGTCCCACCTCAGGCTTCTTTTCTCCGGGGCAGGTCTTTACGTTGGGCAGCTGCACCGGTGTGTACGCCAGATCAAGCAGCTATAGCTTGCTTGAAGGGCTTCAATGAGGTATGTTTTTCTCTTGTTGGTGTCTGGGTGAATCGATGTGTCTCTTTTCTTTTTTTTTTTTGGCCGTGGCGTTCCCAACTTGTGGCTGCCGTTGTTCTTCACTCATGGGAGCCCCGTGCCTACGACGCCTGCGGCTGTGTCAGCCTGAATGTGGTGCAGCATTGAAAGGATGGGGAACGGATATTTTTTTAGAGATATATGCATGGGCATTTCTGCATTATGCATGTGTGTGTGTGCATATATATATATCGATATTCGTTTGGGGGGCTATGTGGGGCCGGCAGCTTGCCCACGTGTATTCGCGTTCCCGTGCGTTTCTATCCTTCGTTGCCTTTAGAGGAAGAGGCGATAGCTCCACATGAAATGTGGGACGGTTGAGTTTAACAGTCACACAGTTGTGTACGGCGGGTGGACCCCGGAGGAACTGCACCAGTTTTCCCCCCACACGGATGTCCTCGCGCCCGTACAGGGAGCGCTTGAAATTGACGGGTCTGTCGTGGTGCGCCCGCGCCTATCTATGATGCAAGCCACATTCGAGACGCTGCGCTGTTTTTGGGACCCGCACCCACCAGCGCCGTCGTCAGGCGCCGCGGTGCTGCGGGACTGCTTCACCTGCTGCGTGCAGTGCTCACGTAAAAGTAGAAAGTCCTTGCAAGGCCGCCTCGACGAGGTAGCCTGCGTGCAGGGTCTCTGGCTCCGCTTCGTCTCCAGCTTTCCTCACCGGAAGTACACCGTGGAGCGGACACCGAGGCAGCTGGAAATCCTGCTTGGTGCCCTGCGCGTTAGCTTTCCGTACCTCTTGATCCCGGCTTGCTGTGGAGTCAGTGTTCACGCTGCGCGAGGCCTGCTTGACTTCGTGAAGTCCCATGCGGAGGCGGTGGCTGCCTACCTTCCATTGCTCTACTTCCTCTATGAGATGGATGAGAGGAGCGTCGTGAATTTCTTTGACACACTAGAGGAGCTTGTGCGGCGGCGGCGCGAGTCAAACGAGTGTAACCTCCTCACTTCGCGACGGCCCAGGGAGTCGTCGTGGTTTCGCTGGGGGGCCCCAAAGCCGGTCCCGCAGGAAGACCCTTTTTCTGTCGAAGTGCTCTTTATGGAGACGCACGCAGCCCGACTGCCTGACGCTTTCAAGGCGAAATTCCTCTTTGCCCGGTCAAGGAAGGAGGCGTTAGGGCTTGCGGGCAGGGCCGCCGTGCACCTTCGTGACGCCCTGCTGGAGGATGTGGAGGCGTTCGAGACGGCCGTGGAGTTTTTTGCGACGTCTAGCGGGAGGTTGCTGAAGCAGGGCTGCGCGGGTTGGGCCCCAGATTCCCTGCAGGAGCAGCATGAGACCACCTCGGCGCACGCCGCTGAGGATGAGAGGATAAAAAGGGCCATAGCGGAGTGCATGAGCGTGGCGAGCGTGCTGCAGGGGCAGGTTTTTGGCCCCATCGTTAATTCCCTGGTGGACGCGCTGAGGGCGAGTGAATTCCACCTGGAAACGCAGTTCTGCTACCTGCAGTCCCTGCTGCAGTGCGCCAAGGCGGTTGTCCAGAACGAACCACTCATCACCGGGGCCAAGGCGGCGCCGAAGAGTCGCCAGACAGCTCAGAGCTCCATGCTTCTCAGCCAGGCGAGTGAGCGGTACGGGAGGATGCGTCAGACCTTCCGTGCCTTCAAGTTGCACGTGGAAGAGGAGCTGGCGCTCTCCGAGAACGCCATACGCCGCTCCCTCGTGCTGTGCTGCACCCACTGCCTTCATGCCTTTACGATCTTCTACGACGCCTTTGACGCGCGGCATCACATGCGACTTATTCCCTCCGATGAAAAGCGGGACGCTTCTGTGCATCCCCTGCTGCAGGTCTTCGGCACAGTCAGAGAGGAGCAGCGCGCGCAGGAGTAGAGCAGTGAGTCTCTTGGCGCCATTCATAATGGGGCTTCTGGAGCAGTGCGGCGGAACTGGTTTGGCGAAGCTCGGAGATGCAACAACAACAACAAAGACAACAAAAGAAAAAAAAGGAAAAAAAAAGGTTGTTGGGTGCAAAAAAAAAACTCTACGTGTTATTTACTGAGAACGTTGTAGAGTGTGGGATGCACACCCTCAGCGGCACAATGGTTGCACCTCTGTCTCGCTCGCTCCGTGTGTGCGTTGTCGTGCGACTGTCCCCCCGTTGTGTGGGCGGTATTTCGCCACCACTTGGGAATTCATTGATATTTGCGTTGTTGGCGTTGTTATTGTAATGCGCTGCTTTTTTCCCTCTTCTCGTTGGAATGATGAACAAGCGTCACACACCTGCAAACCTATATCATCATACAAAAAAAAATCGGGTAGTTCTTTCATTTGTAGCTGAGAAGGGTGTGGTGCTTGCATGGGTCTTGATAAGGACGACCGCTGGCGCCTCGGAAGCTGCTCCACCGCTGCCCGTTCACTCCACGCAACCAATTCCACAAATTGGAAAAGCCACACAATGCCTCTTTGCATCGGTGCAGGCAATGGACGCGGTGAGCGTTCGACGGGCTCTCGAGGCGGGGGCGAACGTAGATGCTACGAACGCGGAAGACGGGAATAGGACTGCTTTGCACACAGCTGCCATTTTGAGCTCCGCGGAGTGCCTTATGGCACTGTTGGGAAATAGAACCAAGCCGCGCCTGGGCATAGACGCCAGTGGACAGACGCCGTTTCACCTGTGTGCGCTGCACTGCCTCGCTTGTCCCTCTGGCGCTTCTCATTCAGGCCTACGGGCCAAGCAACGCGGTAGACAACCGCTTGAACACCTTTCTTCACTACTTATTGGACAACAACCACATTCATGAAGGCGAGCTTATGGAGTTTATGTGGTGGCTAACTAGCAGTGAAGCCGCTCTACCAATACTCAACACGATTAACAAGTGTGGTGAGACGGTGGTGGATGTGGCATTGCGGGCGGAACGGTATAGTGGGCACTTCTTGCGCCTCTTATTGAGTGCTGGGGCGCGAGAGGCGAGGGATTTGTACGCCGTCGCCCAGCGGCGGGTGATGGGTATGGAGGAGAAGGCCCGTAGGAGGGAAACTGCCTCGGAAGGTAGGCGTTGGCGTCGATTACAGCGCGCCTTTGGTCAGTCGCGTGCGAATCTGCTGCATTGTGCGGAAAAGCGCCGCGGTGTGGCAGACCGAGAGGAGGACGGACGACGTCGACTGTGGCTGGGGGAGCATCGAGCGCGGGGGCGAATTACAGAGCAGTTGACGCAGGATTTAGTACTTGTCGCGGCAGCAGGAAAGGACCCGCTTCAGGCGCAGCGAGCACTTCTTGAGCGGAAAAAATGAAGCCTCGCCACCCGCGCCCAGGCGAGCCACGGAGGAAAAGAAGGCGGTGGAGATACCTCCTCGCCTCGGCGCGGTGCTTGGGGCCTGCAACAAGTCAGCTGAAGCGGAACAGGGGAGTTCGGGCGACGACCGCCTCAGACGCGCTGCCGTCAAGCGAATATGGCAGGCCTACTCCTTGTGTAAGAAACAAAAGCAGCGAGAGTTCATTATCAGTGAGTTGTTAGTGAAAGCCCACACCGGGTTTGCCACGAGCTCCGCTGCGGATTTAGGCCCTGTTCCGAGGCTCCCGTGTACGAAGGTGGTATAAGAAAATTTATGTGAGCACGCTGGTTATCCAGCGTGCCTGGAGAGCGCACATGCGGCGTCGACGTCACGCGGCAACCGATGTTATACGAAAAAAAACTGGAATACCGGTATTTTTTGCTGCGTGCTAAACATATGGCCATGGAAGGGTTGCAACGCCGCTTAACGGAAAAAATTCGAGGCGTCATGTACGCGGTCACCAGATTGCGGTGGCGTGCGAACTTTTCGGCATCTTTTTTGCGAAATCGTCTTTCACAGGAGACGCGAACGTATGCCTGAACTCCAGCGTGCAAGTTTTTATAAACAGTTGAAAGCAGTGCGCCAGCGCATACTCAAGTGGGTTCTTTTGGCGCAGTTCTTGTTGGCGTTGTTCATGCTTATTTTCATTGGGGCGGCGCCTCAGTAGTCACCCACGCGCGCTGCTGCGGCGGCGTACCTCACTGTATGTGTGGTGCCTGCTGCTTCTGCAGTTAGCCATGGCGTTTCGACTCTATCGCCTGGTTGACTGCATCGTCATTCTGATGGCCCTTATTTTTGCCACGGCGCAGCGGCGGCATGGCGTGTGTCGTCACGCTCCTAACACGGAAGTTCCCTTTTGTCATTCACGCACTTTTCCCAGCGCCTTCCGGTACCCGAAACTACTGCCATGCCATTGGGCAGGCCGCGTTTAATCTCGTTTGGCTCGCCCCGCTGGGACTTGCAGGGCTGGGGTCCTCTGCTCGGGCTCTTAGGCGATGCCTTGCTTCCACCTCGTGGAAATTGGGGCGCCGTATTTCTTGCCGTGTGAGGCACTATTTTCCCGCAGTATTGCATTTCCCGTCTGCAGCGGCGAGGTGAGCCACTTGCCGGCGTGAACCTCACACAGGAGTTACCCGCACTCTTGCGCATTCGTAGCACTACTCACGTGGGGGGATATTTTGTATTGCTGCAGCAACAACTACCCCTTCTGGAGCTCATCGTCGCTCAATTTTGTATTATGTTTTGGATTTGGGTGGCGGTGTTCCTTGGCGTGCATGCCGCGATTCGAAAGCACCTCGACACCAGTGACGGGACCAAGCTACGGAGGGAAAAGAGTCGGTTTCGCAATTGGCGAAGCAGGGTACTCCTCAACGAGGTCCACCGTGCCAAAAATATGCGGACCTTGGAGGAGCAGCTAGACGGCTTGTTGTGGGAGGCGGAAGTGCGGGCGGCCGAGGAGGCCATTGCGGCATCACACTGCGACCACAACGCAGACACCACGGTCCACCGGTTTGTACGCCGCGTGCAAGACAGCGTGGTGTCAGGGGGGGGGGGGTTGGAACCGGAGCACTTCAATAGGGCGGGCGTGCCAATGCGGCATGCGCCTATAACTGCAGAATGGGGGAAGTGGGGTTGCCGCAATAAGCACCCCGGATCACGGTTTGTGTGTGACGTGGGAATTATAGAGGGGGCACTTGGGGTGCGGAAGCGGCGGACTTTCATCGCAGGGCTCATGCGACGTCAGCGGACAGGCCCTGTCACAGAACGGGAAACAACACTCTTTTTGATTGCCGTGCTTATTATGGCATGCGTGAAGCCAAACTGTTATTGGATGGAAATGTCCTTTTGTATTGTATTTGCAGTGGAGTTCTTGCTCTCCTTTAGGTATTTGCAGGTGGAATTCGTTTTTGGGCACTATTTTCGGCTTTTGAATCGACTAATTTGCCTGGTGGTCGCTATTGTTCCCTCCGCGATTCAATTTGTCATTCTTCGGATGTTTCGCTTCTGTGAGGGGTGGCCACGTATCTTTCAAGTACCCGGAGTGGCATGTTATAGTTTGATGTCTCCAGCCTTGTATTTATTCACGATGTGGATGATTTGTTTTGTGGTCATTTGGCTCTTTTACTTCGAAACAGGTGCGGAAGGCATCTGTCACAGCGCGCTCAGCTGTGTTTATGTAAGTTTTCGGGAGATGCTACTCCCCCCCTGGAACCCCACCCACGTAAATATTCTTACGGAGTTCCCCATCGCATGCCTCATTATTGTTGTGTTTCAACTAGTATTCGTCCCCTTTGCTGTTACCATTGCCCTGCATCCGCTGCTGCGGATGTCAAGCTTCATTGGACGCTTCATTCGCCTTCTCGTGCAGAGCCTGCACCACGACGTGGTGGAGTACATAAACAGCTACTTGGAGTGTCCGTCTTGGTTTGCTCACCGGCGCCTGCACTCTGATCTCCCCGCGCGCACTATCACCAAGCTGCGTATGTGGTTCTATGACGTGCGACGTCGAAGCAACTACTCTCGGAGGGGCGATGCGCCCCCCCACTTTGGGCCTCCTATGTATTTGCGAAAACGGGTGACATCCAACCTAACTGACAGAGGAAGGAAACAGGCAAGATTTTCCCCTGCCTTGATGAAAGTATTATTTCCAAGTCACAGTTTGCATCGCTTGAAGAGAATGAGGCCTATCATAACTCCTCGGTGAGGAGGCACAAGACGCTGAGGCGTGTGGGCCGCTCACTGCGTCAGCCGTCCCTGCGCTGTATACATACCGTGCTCACCCTTGCCTCCATGGCGTGCCTTTGGGTTGTGGACGCCTCCTCAGAGCTGTCAGATCCCAGGGTGTGTGCGTCTATTGTAGTTCATGCGACGAGCATGCTAACAGCGCTGGTCCTCATTCCAAGGGATGTCTCTGCGCCGTTGACGCCGTTCAGCGTCGGAGCCCTTGCGACAGCGCCGCGGATGCAGTACGGCCCTCGACCGGAGCTCCACTCTGGCTTTTGTCTTCACTTCATTTCCCTCTTTCGCATAGGGCAATTTCCCATGATATTTGTGTCGCGGATGCGTTGCTTCGTGCGTATGTCACATATCTTCATTGAATTCATTGATCGGTGAGCTATTTCCCGTCATTGTTATGGTGTGTGCGGTCTGCCTTATGGAGCTGCTTCGCTCGCAGGCGGCGTATATGGTGCACAACTATCACCATCTGAATGCGAGTGCGATGGGCTCCATGTGGTCCGTTCCCCAACAGTTGGCCTCCCATCTTCGCCGCAGCCCATGGTACCCAAGTGGAGACGACTTCCAAGCATTACTTGGGCACTGCCTTCGTGAGGATGTGTACCTACTTTTCCCCGTGTTGTAGTTTTGGGTGCTGCCTGCGACGGTTCTGGCGACGGCGTTGTCGTACCTGCGTTGGACGAACGCAATCTTTCAGGACTCCCGCTGCCTCCTCATTGACACCATTCGCTTGCTGGAGGACCCCATGACTCTGGCGATGGTTAAGACGCATTGCTTTTGGCTCCGCTGGATAGACCACGTGGCTCTGATCGTGAGTTTGCTCTTAGGAGTGCTTTTTGACCCCAGTACGCGGGTCACTGGCGACGGTCACAGGCTCTTCTTTGGTTGGGGAGCCGTCTTCGCCTGTCCCTGGCGTGCTGCGTCTTATTTTTCCCGTTTGTCGCAGCGAGCGCTTCTGGGCGTCGTGAACTTGCATGCCGCGGGGTTTGGTGGGCAAGGGAGTGGTGGTTGGAAATACACTGCTTCTCCTTGCCGAACTTCTACAGTTGCTCTACTGGTCGTGTGTCCTAACTTTGTCACTGACGCTTCTAATGGAGCGGGACACGTGCCTCGTAAGCCCAGGCCGGTACGCGTTTTATTTCATCGCCCTGCGCTTTCCCGTGCTGCTCCGGATGCTTCCCCGTCACTACGCACTCCTGCTAACCTTGAAGGGAGAGGTGTTCGTTTTTACCGCCGCCTCTTGTGCGACATACTTTCCTAGCGCCACCAGCGCTCTGGTGGATGTGCATGTTGCCAAGGTGGGAGGCGGTGTGACTACCCAGCTCTGGAAACACGCACTTCGCGACCTTCTCCGTCAAGCCTTCACGTCGGGGCTTCCTGGAAAGGTGGAAAACACATGGACGCCGCCCAATTACACGCAACTGGTACAGAATGTGCTAGTCTCCAATGTGACTACTCGGGTCGTGTCGATTGATTACGGGTCATCGTCGCTTCTCTTGTCGCTTGGATTGATTGACAAGCTCGTGGTGGCCGCTTACTTTGGCCTTGTGTTGGGGGTATTGTTTGTGCCTCTGCGATCCTTCATTTTCGGTGCGGTGCCAAAGCGGGACTTATTTCTCTATAAGACGTTGTGCGGTGGAACAAGCACAAGCATTGATGTCGGAGCGCGTCTGCAGAATGACTTGAGACCTGAGGATCGCAAAAGAATTTAGCGGCAGGAGTTTGCAGAAATGTTTGCGGCGGATGGAATTCCAACGCGGTTGCTGCCGCACCTCCTCGAAGGAATTGGCACGTGCACGCCCGGTCAGCAACGTCGACTGATGTTTGTGCTCGGACAGCTGTTTGCGTTTCTGCTCATAACAGAAAAACGGGCTCGATGCGTAGAGGCGTACACAAGCGAGTGGAAACTGTGCAGCGATGGTGGACCTGGGAAACTGTCGTTCCGTGGGCTGCCAGTCTACCCGGCGCAGGCGACGTGGACTGCGTGCGGGCAGCGTGGTAACGACCACACTCTCGTCTCAGGTGTCTCACGCTGCGTTCCGCCGTTACGCCTGGTGCAGGCGATTGCGCTGCTGAAGTCTGGTTTTCCGCCCCACTCCTTTGTGTGGTCAAAGATTTGGTTGGAGTTTTTTTTAAGGAGGCGCAGCGGGTGAGTGGGGCGACACTGATGCAGTCTCTCTGGAGTATGTACGTCACCGTGAAGAGTTTTGAAAGCAACACAGAACGAGCGGCGGTGGACATTGTCATGGCACGCACCCTGCGACGGGCATTCCGTCGGAATAGGACCCTCTCGCGGCTGGCATTCCTGCGTCACAAGACTTTCAACGAGGCGGTGCGCTTTCAGCACAATATTTTCAGTCTGGGAACTGGCCACTACGACCTCCTTAACCGGATAAGGGGACACTTTGCAGAGAAGCGGCCAAACAAACTTTTTCGCACCTCAGTTCTTCCAATTTCGGGCGCCTAGCATCTTGCAGCCCATCAATAGCCGCCACACTCCACGCAGCAAGCACAACAGCGTCACCTGCAGCGCTGGGGGCACGTGAGACGTGGCGTCTGCAAGAAAATCCCCTCTCGGAATACGTGTAGGCGAATGAGAAGGGCAGAGTCACGTAGGAGACGAATTCCTGCACGAACAGCGATGAGGGTGAAACAACAGATCCAGACTTGATATCCACCACAACGTCACTCGCTGATGGCTCCGAAAACCAGTAGGCTACGCAATCGTCCAACTCGGGACTTTCTACTCATTCCCTTCGGCCGCCTATTGTTGGAGTCGTATATTCCATCAATATTTATTTTATTTGCTTCCTAGTATGGCCTTGCTTTGGGGTTATACAAAGTGCCACATAACAACAGTAATGATAAGGAGATCACGACTATCCTTGATACTTTCACTGGGCATTACTGGAGCGTATGTGTCTGCACAAGGGGTCCACTGTATGGTAGCACGTTCTGTTGAACGCCCGTGTTATTTTATGGATTACTTGAGTTCTGTTTACGCAGGAAAAAGAGAAGAAATTTCTTGGGAGGCATCTAGTATAATTACTGTGGTCTGTTTCTATCCTGTTTATTTATTCTTTCCCTCTGGCCCCCACTGCCCTCACGCGGAGGTGTCTGGCGGTTGTGGAGCCTTAACGACTGCCACCGTTTGAGCTCCCAGGGACCCCCTTCATAACAAAACGCGTTTGTCATCTTTTTTTTTTCGTTTTTGAATGATGTCTCCTTGTGTGTGTGTGTGTGGTTTGGAGGCCGCAGCCCCCAGTTCGCCCAATGTTGGCGGTGTGTTCATGTATGTGCATACAACTGTGCTGGCCTT